CAGAGAACAGAGACTCTCCTCTTGCAATGGAATAGATAAAGCATAAGAAGATTGTCACCAGTCAGCACCAGTCAGTCAAGCCATTTGATGTCAGTCCCGAGTCGGTTCCCCTGTCAACCCCCAGTCAGTCGTCGTTTCCCCCCGGCCCGCCGAGGCCAGGCTTGTGGTACACTGTTCACGGTAGTATGGTCATCCTCTCTCCCACTTCTTCTGCTCTAACCCAGCTTTTTATCTGCTCATACTCACACAGCCGGAGCCATGAAGACGCGGTCCCATGCCAGCTACCCACACACACCTTCTTCCTAGCATTGTCTAAACTGTCCAGTACATGACCTTCTAGGTCACATTGACCTAGCACACATTTCCTTTTTCTAAACCTGAACAGAGCACACGAACAGTTCACATAAGGCTACAGCTACAATATATCCATTCCCTATCTGAGGAGGAAGTCACTCAGGATGTTGACCCCTAGGCTAAACAAGGGACACAGCCCAAGATATTCTTGCCTGCGCCAGAGACAGATCAAGCTTCCATACACACTGAGCTCAGCCTTACATCCTTGCACAACTAACACAAGTATTATCTAAATATGAACTACATACTGTTCTATTACATATTACTTCTGGAATCTGGTTTATTTCTAACCACTACAATTGTTTTTATAAATAAAAAATATCACAGCGAGCTAGTGGGGTATAGAGGTTCTGATGAATGACACTGGAGTCAGGCTGTGCTTTTATGCAGAGTTCCTACCCCTCACACTGCACGACCACGGGTAGCCACTGCTCTTATTAACAGAACACAACACTGAACATCAGAACTTATATACACACAGTTTCCTCCCAAAAAGAAGCTGCGAAACAAAACTATAACCCGCCAACCCAAAACACCTGTTAACTATGGACAACCACACCAATCCTGCCATCTTGGCATATAACTGTCCATGAGAGGCATGTCCCTATGTGTGTTTTTGTGTAAGGTCTAAAGGTCTACGGCTCTCGCCCAGCATGCTGCCTAGCCCCCACCAGGCTACGGAAGGTTGAAGGTTCAAGTTTCGGTGCCTGCTGAAGTGTCCTTGG